GGGGGGGGGCGGGCTCCGGCGGCGCAGCGCTCGGCGGGGGGGAGGGGGGAGTCGGGCGGCGCGGGGCATGGCGCTCAGGGGGGGGTCCGGCGGCGCAGCGCTCGGCGGGGGGGGCTCGGGGGGCAGCGCTTTTTTTTGCTGCTTGGGGCAGCAAAAAAGTTAGAGCCGGCCCTGGCTGTTAAATTGGTCAGGAGTCCTCAAGAGGAGAGGGGTGGGGAGTAGGGGGACACGGAAGGTGTTTAAACAGTGTTTTTGATTCTGTTTCTCCTCACTGGTCTGAATGATCCATGACATTCATACTGCATCACATCAAGTCCAAATCATTAGAGGAATGCCTCTGCCTGCACTGACCAGAGGATGTTTGGATTCTGATAATCAGCCCAGTTCTGCAGCCTGACAGGAATCAGGTGTAGTCCCCAGTGTACCTAGAATTCTTTGCAGCCAAACTAGTCTAACATGTATTTTGCTAACTGGAACTGGAGCAGCAAAACAAAGAAAACAAATGCCTCATTGTCCAGCTTTGTGGGTGAGAGAACTATAAGTGAAGATTATAATGCTGGACACTGATGACCTTAAACCAGCTGCCTCAGTATTCTGCCAAGAACTTTGCTAAAAATATGTTCCTCATCTTAGCAACGGAGCTAAGAGTTATCACACATCTGCCAACCTTTATTTGAATGACGCTTCTTCTGATCTAACAGCTCAGGCAGTGTCAGTATCATCTAGAACAATTTGCAAACTTGGAATCTAATCCTGTAAACCCTTAATCGTTTGATCAATCCCATTGAAGACAATGGGACTATTTGCATGACTATGGACTGCTTTTGTGGTAAGAGTTTCAGGAGTCTGTTTTGTTCCTATAAAGGATGTTGAATCTCCCATTGAATTGCAATGTTTGGGTACAATATCATAATGCAGTTTAGGATACAGTTCTACTTAAAATTTGTCTTCTAATAAGTCATACATATGCTGAAATGACTCCTCACCCAACTCCCATATTTCATATAAACAGACTGACTACTACATATTTTTGGGGAAAGTGAGTAGTTAAGCATGTTTGTATATACAAACACCCATTTCATCACTGTACTGGAAAATATAGCTGAACTTAATTTTCTATGGAATTTGAAGAAAGTTTAATAGCCCCAATTGTTTTCTCTGTTAATCAGTGTGAACCTGAAAAAATTGCATGCCTTCTAAGGGAATAGAATCAGTCCACACTTACTGAAAATAAAAATTCTTCCAACTGGTGTTCAGAAGAGTGCTACAAGACACATACATAACCTCATGAGCAGTGAGCAGAAAGGATACTCTCCCACATTATGACCAGAAAAATAATAATAAATAATAATAAATTAATAATAATATTTCAAAAAGGCAGAGGTTCCCAGATTTGCAAACCTAAAAACCTGTGTTATGCTTTAAACCACCTCAGCACATACCAGGTTTATGAACATTAAAAAATTAACTGCAAAGGAACACTGAAGCCCATTAACCTGAATGTGTGCCAGCCAGTATGCCCTCACTGACTAAAGGTGCAGTCATACCTGAACAGCTAAAAATTAACCTTGCCCTTTTAGGTTAAACGGAGTCATGTCACTGGCTCCATCTCTTTGTTACATAACAGATAACAAAATCCAGTGGGGCATGGTGCTGGTACTTAGGGTCTCAGGTACATGGTGTGATTTTTCAGAATCTCTTTTGGGAATAGTCATGTAGGTGAAATAGCTAGTACTTATGATTATGCTATTTCTATGCATGTATATTCATCTTGGTATCTGAAGTTATGAATATTAACTATGTTTCCTATATGTTTGCTCCTGTGGTAACGCCCACAAGGTATTTAGCCAGCACATAAAGGGACAAGTCAAGTTGAATGGCTCATTAAGGAACACTTAGCTCACAATGGACCCTGGAAAACGCCTGTCTACACTCAAGGGACTTTTTGTGAATGTTCTAACTAGAATATGGGGGGGAGGGGGGGGAAATGTTGTGATGGACATGTAACTTGCCCATGTGATTCCAAACATCGTCTTTCACAGTAAGAACAGATTTCCCTTTAGTTGACACTTGGCAGAATCTAAAAGGCCCTGGCCTGGAAACATATGCATTTTGCCTCTTTCCTGCTCTGGCCTTTTTCCTGCTTCATCCTCTGGACTATGAACATATACTAATAGGAGCATTCTAACCAAGGGACTGAGGACTTTAAGGTAATCTGGAGTCTTGATATTCCTTGATCCTTTGCAGATGGATTGATGAGTTGGATATGGTACACAGACTGTTCTAGCCTCAGTGATTGCTGATTTCTCCCTTGCAATGGATAAAGATCAGATGTCTGCTGACTTCCTACAAGTCAGCAGCCTTTGATACCTGTGGTATAAGCAACATAGCCCTTGCTGGAGTGGTTTTGTTCTTTCCTCTCCAAATGTCAAAGCCTGTTCCCATTGAACTCAATAGCAAAACTCCTTTTGATTTTAATGGGAACAGGATTTGGCCCCAAGAGATCAGAGAATGTGATTTTGATTAATTGCTTATGTCTAGAGACAGTTTCTCATGCATGTTCTGCCAGACTGATTTCGATTGCCTCTCCTGTATGTCATGCTGAGGAAAATAATAAAACAATTTGGGCTGTAGTTCTATCAAGATGTACATGGCACACACAGTTCTATGCCTCTTTTCCATCAAACCCAGACGGTGCAGCATCTTTGCTTTCCTAGTGCCTGGCGGAGAGCAATACTTAGATAAAGGCAAGCTGGCAGAAGCTTAGTTTGGACATAAGGGAAGCTCTGATAGGGAAAGTGGGATGATTGACCTTCCTATCCTTCTTTCATTTAAGAAGTTTTCAATTTGGGGTGCTGCTGGATCCTCAATGAGACCTGGAAATACAGGTGGCACCAGGGGCCCAAAGCATCATTTTAGACAGGTAAGGGGGGTGTTGGAGGGGACAGGGAGAGCGTGGGGGCCCGGGGCTGGGGGCGGGGCGGAGTCACATGGAGGATCACGTGGAGAGGTCACGTGCCCTCCTTGTGTCCCTCCCATGAGTGCAGTACCGGCAAGAAATGATTTCTACTTGCGCCACTGAGTAGGAGCAGAGAGATTATTTTACCTCTGTATTCGGCACAAGTGTGACCGCTGCTGGAATATTGTGTCCAGTTCTGGTGTCTACGATTCAAGAAGGATGTTGACAAATTGGAGAGGCTAAGAGCCATTAGAATGATTAAAAGATTAGAAAACATTCCTTATAGTGGTAGACTCAAGGAGCTCAATCTAGTTAATTTAACAAAGAGAAGGTTAAGGGGTGACTTGATTCTAGTCTATAAGTACCAACGTGGGGAACAAATATTTAATAATGTGTTCTTCAATCCAGCATAGAAATGTACAATCTGAACTAATGTCTGGAAGTTGAAGCTAGACAAATTTAGATTGAAATAAGGCATACATTTTTACGTGACAGTAATTAGCCATTAGAACAAGTTACCATGGTTGGTGATAGATTCTCCTTCACTGACAATTTTTAAATCAAGATTGGAGGTTTTTCTGAAAGGTATGCTTGAATGCTTGGGGAAGTTCTATGGCCTGTGTTATATAGGATGGAAGAATAGATGATCACAGTGCTTTTGTCCTTGGAATCTATGAATCTGTTAACGAACAAGGATGCAAATTGGTGCTGATTTTGATGATGGTTTTACACCTATCAACTATTCTATGGGAATTTTCAGAAATTATATGTGAGCTTTTGGGGCAGGACTATATGATTGTGCAGCACCTAGCACAATGGTTCCCAACATGCTTGTGGACTTGAGGAACTAATATATAAATGCTAATTAATAATAATAAAATATTACATATAGGATACATGATGACTAATATTTGTTATAAATATGGCCCCAAAACTACAAATAGTATTCTCTCTGTCACTCTCATTTGTACATAAACATGTATATACTTGTAGAATATATATGTGTGTGTGTGTGTGTGTGTTTGAATAATATAGTATGAATGTGTGTTTATATTCATGTGATAAATTGCATTTATCTTCTACCCTGACCGCTAGCCTACATTCTGCCCATTAGTCCATCTCCTCCAGGACAACCTGTAAAATTCCATCCGACCAATTTCAATTTCAAAATATCTCCAAGGAAATGTTTCCTTCAGTTCCCCTGAGCTTGAGCAAAATTAAACAGGCCTGAAGTTCAGGATAAGCAATACTCAATCCTGCATGCTGCACCTATGACTGCTATCTTGTGACATTTAAAGGTTAGAAACAGCTGAAGAGGGGAGACTGCTAGCTTCCTCCTGGGACAGACAGCACTTGCTTGTAGCCTAGAAAGGTCCTGGGTTAGCAAACTTTAAAGTGTGACATTATTATTAATGGAAAAGCAATTTTAGGACAGTTTCAGAGGTCTTACATGTTATCATTTATGACATTTCTCTGATGCCTACGCAGCTGGCTTTATGGTAACTAAGCCATCTGGTTTTTCCAGCAGAGTACATACAAAAAACAGTCCCAATCATTTAAAAACTCTCTCATACATTTGTAAAATACTTTCGCCATAAACATGTTTTACTGCTTGCTTTAACTTCTTACCTCCAAAAGATTTTTTTTTTCCAAAAAAGAAAAACCTTACCTTGCCATTTTCTACTTACCTATTTTTGCAAGAGATGCAAGAAGTATCCAAAGTGTAACTTCATAGGGAATTTGCACGTAGTTATAATCCACTGTAAAAACATTCAGTCTCTCATCCTGAGCAGAGTCCTCAGCATCATGATGGTCAGGCTTGTACTGAGTTGAATTACTGCTCAAGGTGGATAACTCAAAATAAGTAGCAGCAAAAGGACACCCCAGAGACAATAGCAACAGCAACCGGTTCAAAAAATTAACACACCTAAATATCTGAGAGCCCATGATTGGGGCTGAAACTTTCTTTTATACTATGTGTAGCATGTACTGTATGCATGAATGTATGTAATATTATCTGTTTTCAGTCTGCACTGACCCTAGCCCTCAAGATTCCCTCAGGAAATTATCTGTCATGTTATCACTGTAAAAATCCCAACATCAATGTGTCTTTCTGTTTTTGAATTACCAGAAAGATCTGGAGTACAGATGAAGACACAAGTATTTGCAGGCTTCTGAAATCCAGATAAAAACCTTCAGCAGCCTTGCACTATTCAGGAATAGTCTCTCTTCCCCAGAAGATTTTTACTTGCTCTAAGCTCAATAGTTTTCCTTGTGCCAGAGAAAACTAGGCAATAATGAACAGAACTCATTCAACAAAAACCACAAGAGTAAAAAGAATCCCAGGGTTCAGATCCCAGCATGCTGAACAGATAGGACTGCCAGCTCCATGCCTCCTCTTCCTGCCCTCTCTTTCTCCTTCATGTACTCTGTGTGGTCAAGGCACCTGGTAGCTGAAGTACCTGATTAATTGTATTCACTCACTTCACTGGTAATCAACCACTTCAGATGTAAATAGACTCTTCAGAGGTTCCATTAGTGACATCTAGTGGACATCCACAAAGACTGTACTCTTAATTTATAGTAAATTGATCAGTAAAATTTGCTGTTTCTTTTACCTCCATTAAATATATTGACACTAAGCTTAACACGATAGATAGTAATGATATCACAGACACAAAATTGGCATTTAGTACAAGTACTTAGCTAGTAGATCTCTGGTATATGGAGGTGGTCTCTCTGAATCCATCCTTCCTGTTGAAGCTGTTGCATGTTGTACAAAATGTGCACGGAAGCAGGGACTTGCACTTGGGTCTCCCACATCAGAGGTAAGTACCCTAGCTACCATACTATAGAGTCATCCTGGCATGCTCTTGGCCCAATGAATGTTTTAATATTTCATACATGGGACAGCTTCAACAGGAGAGACTGAAAGAGACTCAGTCACAATATCCCATAGCCCAGTGGTAAGGGCACTCACCTTCAAGATGGGTTCACATCAAAGCCCTACTCCACATCAGGTAGAAGCGGCATTTGAACCTGTGTCTCCCACATCCTGGGTTAGTGTTCTAGCCACTGGGGGGCTAAAGGTTTAAGGGAGGTGGCACCATCACTTTCCCCTCCTCAATTTTCGCAAGAGAGGGCTTAATGTGCCTAGCTCCAGGACAGGAGGATTTTCTGCTATTAATCCCAACCAGAAGCAGGCCCCCCGCTTCAGTTTGGATTTAGGACCTTCAATCCCTTTGAAGGGCAGGGCTTAGAACCCACCCTGCTCCTTGGTATTTCCTATTGGCTAGTTTAGGTGGCTCCCCACTCAGCTTGAGGGCTTTTGTGGATCTCCCCATACATTCTATAGGGAGCCTAGGCACCTAACTTGGGGGTATGGATTCCACTAAGCAGCAGGGCATCTAAACATTAGGACTTGCTTTGATGAGTCTAGTCCCCTTTGTGGATCTAGCCTGAAATGTCTCCCATCAGTGGCGGATTAGCCATTGGGCCAACGGGGCCTGTGCCCAGGGCCCCGGACATTTGGGGGCCCCCTGGAAAAATGGGCACCCCCTTGCCCCAACCCCGTCCGCCCACGTCTCCTGCAGGGAAGCAAGGGAAGCCCCTGTGCCCTGACCCTGCTCCCCGGCAGGAGCACCAGGTGGGGGTGTAGAGGGGACTGCAGGCGGAAGGAGTGGGGAGGGGCCCCCACTTGCTCTGGCCCAGGGCCCCACATACCCCTAATCCACCTCTGTCTCCCATTAATAAACAGATACCAACCCCAGGGTCACCATAGGCATTGTGGCAACAGCACAATCACGGAAACATTAACTCGGAACAAAGGTGTATTCAGGACTGATCTAAAGTCTGTTTCTTCTACAGGTGAGAAAAATCAAAATGAGATTAGGTGACTTGGAGAAAATCTGACTCAGAGGAGAGACAGAATGAAGAATAATGGGTGTTAGGCTTGACTGTGTAACCAGTGTGACAGACCCAGACCAGTGGGGTACAGGAGTCTGGTAGAGGGCAAATATACTGGTCACTGGATGAGTAGTTTTCTGTTCCCTGAGTGACCAGAGAAGGGGCTACACTAGAGTAATCAGGAAGCTGCTAGAACCAGTTAAGGCAGGCAGGCTAATTAGGACACCTGGAGCCAATTAAGAAGAAGCTGCTAGAATCAATTAAGGCAGGCTAATCAAGGCACCTGGGTTTTAAAAGGAGCTCACTTCAGTTTGTGTTGCGAGTGTGAGGAGCTGGGAGCAAGAGGCGCAAGGAGCTGAGAGTGAGAGGGTGTGCTGCTGGAGGACTGAGGAGCACAAGCGTTATCAGACACCAGGAGGAAGGTCCTGTGGTGAGAATAAGGAAGGTGTTTGGAGGAGGCCATGGGGAAGTAGCCCAGGGAGTTGTAGCTGTCATGCAGCTGTTACAGGAGGCACTATAGACAGCTGTAGTTCACAGGGCCCTGGGCTGGAACCCGGAGTAGAGGGCGGGCCTGGGTTCCCCCCAAACCTCCCAATTGACCTGGACTGTGGGCCCTTCCAGAGGGGAAGGTCTCTGGGCTGTTCCCCAACCCACATGGTGAATCTCTGAGGCAGGAAAATCTGCCAATAAGCGCAGGACCCACCAAGATAGAGGAGGAACTTTGTCACACCAGGCTAAAAGTGCTCAGGAGCAGATAAGCCCAAAAAACACACAGTGCTGGTTTCTGTGTTACAGAAAATCACATCTTGCGAATGTAGCTAAGGAGATTATTGGGCACCTCTGTTTCCAAGTCATCCTTAAAGATTCGCTTGCAAAAACTAGTGAAGAGCTCAATCTCATTCTCGAAACGCTCTGAGTTTAAATCCTCAGGGTAGCTGCTTGCTAAGTTTCAAGCAAGCCTGTTTAGGTCTTCCCTTGTAGGACTTTTCAGCTTCTTGCCTGTCAAAGTATCTTTCTTTCTTTCAACTCCGCAGCTTATCATCCAATTGTGTTAATATGGTGTCTAAAATGGGGTTAAAAACCTCACATGTAAAAACTTTTTGGGGATCTGATGACTTTTTGTTCTTTGCAAGTTTTCCTGGCATTAATTTCCTGTGCTGAAATCATTGCTCTCTGAACCATGTGAATATTCCTAACATTTCAGCCTGGTGCTGCTTCCCTAAATGTAATGAACCTAGAAACGCATGTGGTGTCCAGGACTGTGAGTCACCTTGTTACTCTCCTGCCTCCACTGAGAGAGTGAGACTTGCTTGTGCTTAACTGGCTGACACCTCCAGTCTGTTAGCCACCCAAACACGCTCCTCTGGGCTCTGCCAGACGTTCCTTTGCCTTGAAGATTAACAATAGGTGCAGTCCCATCCCTGAACAACTTTGAAGCATTCCCCTGTAGTTCCCAACCCCATCTCCACTGAACACTCACATTAATACCAGGGCTGCTGCCTCCAAGGGAAAAGTGTACTCACCATCTTGAACAATTTCACTCAGGAACAACTCCTTGTATAATACCACAGCACTGAGATATACTTATAGTGAAAACAATATTCACTTTATTATCAAAGGTTCAAGATTCAAGAGAGAGTGAGTAAGGATAATCGAAACAAGCAGTTACATATAAAACAAAAATATAACATACTTTTTCAAGACTAAACTTAACAGGCTATCCTCCAGTCTAAATAAGTTTATTTCACCTCAAACATCTTCTGCAGCATTTTTAACCATGTATGATTGAGATCCCATTTTCATGAATGTAAATGAACTGTCCGTTTACTTCCTAGATGCAGGAGAAAAAGGGCATCCTTTTGCCTTCTCTGTATAACCCCCAAAGTTCATTTTTTGTCCCCAGAGTAAGGAAGACCCTCTCCTGGCTTATTTTCTGCTGAGCGGACTCCCTGTTGATTTCACATTCCCCCACTGAATTCATATGTAAATGGGGCTTCCCCTATGGGGCTTACAATGCTTAATTTACATGTGACCTGAAAAAGACTGGTGAATAAATACCTTTGTCTGGCAGAAACCTGTGTATCACTTCTGCCTTAATATACACTTTAGAAACATATTTTCAACATACATATATAACTCCTTAGGTAGTATCTGTGCATACATTTCACAATGAGATTAATGACCAGCATAACCTGGCTTTAATTTAAGATCTCACATGATATTCTTTGGTGAATCAATCTCTACAAACCAGGAGCAGGATAGTCTTGTAAACCAGTTGCCATTGAGGGATTTATGGGTCAGGCACTATAATTCTAAGAGAGGGTGTTGAAGGCCACCAACTAAACCAGCGAGTCATTTGAATGTCAAGATCTGGAATCTGCAATTCTTTGGCTCGCAATGTTGATTTCTGACCAGAGAGTATACCACATCTTGACCAAGCCGAAAACTGAAAACTCTGAAATGTTCACTTGCAAGCTATCAGTTTCCAGGTTAAATTCTGGCATAAGGTTGTGTGAAGCTTTAGTATTGGCTAAAGGATCAGGAGGACCCCCAACATGTTTTCATAGTAGATGCATCGCCTCTACCCTTCCTAGCCATCTTTGCAAGCTTTGGCATTTTACTGTAACACTAATATACTCTTTAAATACATCCCAACAACTAGCAGAAGCAGAAAACAGGCTAAACAATCTTTGAACAATTCCAGAAAATAGAAAAACTTGGGGCACAAGCACTGCAGCAGCTTTTCCAACAAGACTCGGAGAGTGGGCAGCACATGGGATGAAAGACTGCTGAAGTCAATTCAGAACACCTTTATATGCTGCAGTCATGTTAGCTTCATTAGCATGGCTTTGTCCCCTGCAGCCATATTTTTTTCAACTTCTTAAAAATAACCTCTGTAATACCTTCCCCTGTTTTGATGCGGCTATCAGTGAAATCTACAAAGCATTAAAGGGGGCCCTGAATACACCATTTGGGGTCCTAAAAGGGGCTCCAGATGGTGCATTCAGGGCACTAATGCAGCTCCAAATATACCACATGAG